CGTGAAGTTTTCTGTATATTCCCTGAACGTAAGTGAAGACACACTTCCAGTCGGGCTTATCCTTCATAAGCAACATGTCGTCCACTTCTATCAGAGGATAAACGTCAGCCTTTTCTCTACATTCAAACCAATGCATTAGTATTTTAAACTCATTTAACACAAGCGCTTAAAATTTTATAAATACTCAGCAGTTTTGAAGGCGAGTTCAAAGTTTCGCCGTCTGTTCTTTGAATCCAACTCTTTGTAGTCATAGGCGTCGGGAAAGAAGTGATGGATTAGTGCCGCAAATGCCAGACCATTAGCCCAACTGCCAGAGAAATTGTCGATCTGGACATTCTGTTTGTGTGCAATTTTTTAATGCATTTATTAATGCAAATGATTTGAAATGTTTAAAAATAGAAATCATTTTATTTTCATTGAGTAAAAGATAAAGAAAACTAAATATAAAGAATTGAGAAAATAACTAATGAAAAGCCGTTCTTATACTAAAATACATTTCATCTAACTTTAAGCATCAGGTTTTTATCCTTCGCTTCAAAAATATAACACAGAGAATAGATTTGAAGCAAAAATGTATTTAAAATAATGTTTTTTGTGTCAGTAATCATCTCTTCTGAATAGATGTTTTTGTATAACTTTTTACTCTATTAAACATAGCGTGTAATTGTAAACTAGAATAACTTATACTTAAACTAATGTTAAACTAATTATTATTTACTGAATGTTATCATTTTATCACAAATACCTCGTATTCCTTAGTCTTAGCCCTCGACCACCGAAGAAGCATATCTTTTATATCGCTTCCACTTCTGGCGACTGCACCACCAGATCTGAAGCTAATGAAAAAAATCTATATTTAAATATTTGTATAATTTATGTCATTTTTTAAATTCTGATAGTTTAGTAATTTATTGAATTATATTCCTTTGAATATTAACTAAACTTAAATATGAAATAATAATCAACTTATTTTACTTTTGAACAATTTTTGTTATTTAACAGAATATTATTAGAAAATTCAGAATAAAGACAATCAAAACACAAGGAATCGAAAGGGAAAATAAACGCAACGATTGAACACAAATAAAACAATTTATTATTTACAGAATAAATAAAACCAATTATTAAGTTTAAACAACACTTTATAAAACAATAGATTAATTCAATAGTTTATTATTATTGTTTGAAAATAAACTTACAATTACTTAAAGGCAGTGAAAAAGTGCAAATAAATAAAAAGAAGCAATATAACAACAATTACTTTAAAATTATATTGTTGATTTTGAAAAACAATTATTCTGTATGCATGCTTACAATTAAATAATAAACATTTATTTTTACACATATTTCTAAATATATTGCGTAAACAAATAGTGGAAACATTTTCAACATTAATTAGTTTTAATAAAATTGTTTTAAACAACGAATTGTTGTAAAAGTATTCAATGACATAATCGAAGAGCACTAACAGTAACAATGATTTTATGAAAATCGAGGTGTATTTTTGTAATATCTATTTTGAGTGTCTTTATAATTAATTTGAAAGTAAGTCTAATATTGAAACTTACTTTTGTCTACTAGTAGTAGACGAAGAAGTAGTGACGGACTTAGTAATGGTGACACTAGAACTGGTGGATCCCAGTCCGCCGCCGCCTAACTCAACCTTTTCAGTCCGTTTTTCAATCTGTTTTGGCTCTGCCTCTGAAAAACCATATGTCATGTTATTTTGAAAATTATTTATATCCACTTCACATACAAAATATAAAGCAATTTTGTTTCACAGAATTAAAAACAGTGAAATAGAAAAGAATTACAAATATATATATTTTTTGCAAATACTGGTCACAAACTAAAGCAAAACACAAGCGTTTTTCTTAAATAAATATGAGATTTGATAGCAAAAAATTTCTTCGTTTAAAGTGGTGTTTATTTTATTTGTTTTTTGAAGTATAAGTAATCAATAGTAATATTATAATTAAATTTATATCATATTCTTATTGTGTCATTGATTTGATATC